ATGGTCTGACTTTTTAAAACAGGAAATGCTATTATTTAGCAGCTACCATGTGGACACTTGTACTCATGATTGCTGGGTTGGTTAGTGCTTCTAGAAACTTTTAGTAGCTTGTACTCCTAAATGCATTTTTAATTTTGAAGGAAAAATGTATTATGAATTCATATTGATACTTAATTAACATTATAATTTTCAGTTTAACATTGTTGATTTTGTTTGAGTTTTTTTTTTATTTTGTTTGAGTTTCCACTTACTCTTACTGAAAACCTAAGTTCTTAGCAACACTAACATATTTACTACATCCTATGCTGCATAATATGGTAGTTTCAAAATCACATAAAATAATAGTAACAGTTTGATGATTGAATGTAGTTTTAAATTTCCTTGTGGTTCTTTTTGTCATTAAGCTCATTGGGCATGTGTAGTCATGTTTCTGTTTTAATGTAAACTGGAGAGCCGGGCGTGGTGGCGCATGCCTGTAATTCCAGCACTCGGGAGGCTGAGGGAGGAGGATTGTTGTGAGTTCAAGACCAGCCTGGGATTGTTGTGAGTTTGAGACCAGCCTGGGCTACAAAGTGAGCTCAAGGCCAGCCTGAACTGCACAGTGAGACCCTGTCTCAAAAAGACAAAAAAAAAAAAAGTAAACTGGAAAAATTCTCTTGAAGATTCAACCAGATCAATGAATAGTTATGTTTCTTTGTTTTGTTTTTGGTTTTTAAGGATTGCTTCTTTTAACATTTCAATTTATTATTCCCCTAGTTTAAATTTAAATCTTTCAAACTTATAAAAAAGTCAGAAGAACAGTTAATGCCCATGTACCTTTCATCTTAGATTCATCAATGAATATTTTTACTGTATTTGATCTCTCTTCCCTCCCTCCGTATTACCCTACTATATGCACACTTCTTTTCTGAACCTTTTAAAGGAAGTATAGGTGTCAGTATTTCAACCCTAAATATTTTGGCATGCTAAGAACAAGGAATTCTCCTGTATAACCACAGTTCCATATTGCATCTAAGAAAATGAATAATTATTTCATATAATATTTACCATTAACCCATAGTTGAATTCCCCTACGTCAGTGATGGCAAACGTTTTAGACCTTTCAGTAGTACAAACACCCCGCTACAGTATGTGTGCTGTAGGTTCACCACCACATCCTGTGTGGTCCAAAAGTGTTTTCTCTAGGTTTTTTTTTTTTTTTTTAAACTAAAGCTATTTTAAATTCTTACTTTTTGGAGTACTGAGGACTGAACCTAAGACCTCATTCAGGCTAGGCAAGCACTTAGTCTTTAAGCCAGTATTCTCTTTTGTTTTCGCTCTCACACTCATTTGCTCCCTCCTCCTCTCTCCTTTTCTCTCCTCCCTCTTCCTCTCCCCTTCTCTCTTTTTTCCCCCTGGGGGAAACACCTGAGGATTGAACCCAGAGCATTTACTCTGAGCTACATCCTAAGCCCTTTTTTATCTTGAAGACAGAGCCTCACTAAGCTGCCCAGGCTGGGCTGGAACTTGAGATCCTCCCACCTCAGCCTCCCAAGTTCTGGGATTATACCTAGCCATTTTTGGTTGTTATATCTCTTTAGTTTTATTTATTTATTTACATATTTGGAACTGGGAATCGAACTCAGGACGTTGCACTAGCCAGGCAGACACTTGTGCCACTGAGCTATGTCCGCAGCCCCCTTTAGTTACTTTTTTTTTTTTGGTTTTTCTCCGGTACCGGGAACCGAACTCATGACCTTGCACATGCCAGGCAGGCGCTTTTTGCCGCTGAGCTAAATCCCCAGCCCCCTTTAGTTACTTTTAATATCAGCAGTCCCTTTACCTTTTGTTCATGGCACTGATCTTTGAAGAAGCTGTTTGAGTTGTCTTGGAAAATGTTCCACATTGTGAATATGTTTGTTTCTTTGTGTACTATTTAATCTGTCCTTCCAATCCTTGTATCTTTTATTAATTGGAAGTTTGGTCTACTCTGGAGGCTTGATGGATTCAAGTTAAATATTTTTTGATAAGAACACTGTATTGGTGATGCAGTATTTATGTTGTATCTCTTCAGGAGGTGCATTATATTAAGATTTGCTCATTATTATAATTGATCCCACAATTACAAAGTGTCAATTGCCAGGTCCCTCCATGCTAAATGTATACTTTCAGCTTCTTGATTAAATAGACATTTTTATCAGTACTTTGCCATCTTGTGACTCTTGTTCCCTAACAATTTTTTACCTAGTGGTGCTTCCATTTTTATTTATTTTTTTATAATTATGTGACATCTTCATGTGGTCCTAGAACCAAAAATAGAAAATGTGGTACAGGAAGAGAGCTCTAGCCTTCTATTCCTGTCCCCTTCACCTCTCTTTCTTGATAGGTCACCCTTTTAATCAATTTTGTTGTTGTATCTTTAAAATACAAATATATCTCCATTAGAATATATTCATATTCTTTCCACTTCTTAAAGATAGTATACTCTTGTATACCTTTCATGTTTCACTTAAAAGCCTATCCCAGAGACCACTCCCTGGTACTGTATAGAGATCTTCAAAATGACTTTGTAAAATATAAATATATTCATGTTCTATTTGTTCTTTAACTCATTTAGTGCTCTCCCTTGGGGAAAAGTCTGAACTTTCCAAGCTAGTGGTGGCAAACCTGTGGCGCATGTGACACACTCAGCTGTTCGTTGTCATTGAAAGCTCTTAAAGGCTTGCTAACATTGTAAGACTTTCATAATCTGGCTTCTGCTTGTCTACTGTGTTTCCCCCAAAATAAAGCTGAGTCTTACATTAATTTTTTTTTTTTTTTTTTTTTTTTTTTT